AGCAAGGTTTATTGGACGCAGCGTCCTGAAAAACTTGTTTAATGTAAGAAAAGTACAGCTGTGTAGAAACTTTGCTGATGGGGCATTAGCATTGACATAGCCAAGATAAAGCCTGTGATGTTAGTAAGTTCTCTTTTACACTCTGAAAACAGAGCTGAACCACTTCTGTATCAGAGACAATGCTTTGTGGATTTTTTTTTTTTTTTTTGTGCTCTGTAGAGGGGACCAAGCTGTCTTTGATCTGAGATTATATTTTGGTTTTAGTGTGGTGAATTTCAAAGCTCTCACTGACTTCAGAGGAAACGGGATTGAGGTATCGGACAGAAGTGCTCTTCTGCAGTGTAGGTGAGCTGTTAATGCACATCCCTGTACTTGTGCATTTTGGCGAGAGGTAATGCTTGGTATTGATTCTTGTGTAATGGGAGTCTAACTGGGATGGCAGCAGCAGTTCACCAGTCCCAGATGTTTATGCTGGGGGCAGGAATCTCTCCTCAAGAGGAAGAGTGAATTTGACCGTTAATAATCTGTTGTTAATGTGTACAAAGATGAGGTGTTGTTTGCACAGCAGTTGTAGGTGTGATGTGAAGGTGTTTGGAGGAGGATGTTCTCCTGGCTCTACTTACATGTTCTTTCTTGCTTGCCACTGTGCTACACAAGTGATTACAGTCCCCATCTGTTTGGCCACAGCTCTGCTGTCCAAGTTCTGCCCACTCAGACTTACTGGTTGAGCTGCTCGGTCACACTGAACCATGTGGGTTTTTCTGACTTGTTTAATTTTCTCTGAGTCCTGGAGCTTTCAGAGGACCCGCTTCCTATGGAAAGCTTGAAGAACTGTATCCTTCAGTAAGCGAGATAGTGGGGGTGGTAACTTCCCAGAACCACAGCAAGTGGAAGAAGGCGTGTCCACAGATCGTAATGAACTTCCGGTTAAATTTGAGCAACTGTTTCCAAAGGGGAATGCAGCTGCCATGGTGGTATTGAAGATTTTTGAAAGTGTTTCTTTTCTGAGGTAGGCAGGAATTCAGATGTTGCATGTATTCTGCGAAAGAGTAATGTTTTCAGGATACTTTGCATCTCTGAGTCTTCCCGAGTTGTTGTAGTGAGGAGTCTAGAGTGGAAACAGCTCAATGAAGGAGGTAGTTTGGTGAGGCGCCTGTTGAACTTCTGGTTCAGGTAATAATAGTGGTTGCTCTGAATTTTTGTAGCTGATTGTACAAGAGGACGTTAGCAAAACTTCTTTCACCCGCTGTGACGAAGGGAAGTGGTTGGAGGAAGTATTTTGTGGTTATCCTGGAAGTTGGAAGTTAGTGGGATCTGTATTTATTTCTTCCATAGGCTTTGGCAAATGATGTAGCCTACCAGCTGCTTAAGTTTGAGAGAATATGCTTTTAGCACTATTTGGACACACATTGCCATTACAGAGAGACTGTATAAGCCATTGTTTCTCCATTACAACTCAAACCAGTGGATGGAGTAGGTAATTTAGGGTGGCAGAAAGACATTTTGGATGACAGGATTCTGCCTTTTTATAGATAATGTAACTGCTATGGCTGCACCACCCAATACTTAAGGCATAAAAAAGCTCAGGACTAAAGAGATTCTGTTTCTTTTCAGTGCTGTCTTTTCTGGAGATGTTAACCACAGTCATACTAACTAGAAGATGTTTTCCCTGTATACGCTCCTCACCACATAGGTTCTGGCCAAAAGCTGACTGGAGACCATGCATTAATTTTTCTTTGTAAAAATGGGAAGTAACAAACCTTGCTGATCTTGGAGGATATTGGGACATTCAATTTAATAAATTAATGTGAAGCAATCAAAGTTATGTGGATAGGACACTGTATCTGTAACAGCGTGGTGGTGTTTTTTCCTGTGTTTCCTGTTCAAATGTTCACTTGCACTAAAAATGTCTACTATCTCGGCATCTTAATCTGCAGAGATGACCATCTCTGTGAAGAATATGTTCATTACTTGAACAGAAGAGGAATTGTCTGTCAGCACAGCCTTTTCTTCTATTTTTCTTTTCCAGCTGAGAAAGAATAAGCATAATCTCAGACAAAATAAGTCTCAGCAGAATTTATCATTAATTTGGTTTCCTAATAACACCTAGCTTCTCATTCAGCTTTCATTTGATGCAGGTGAGAAGTGAACTTTAGGAAATTGAATTTTGCAAGTGTCTATATAGTGAGGAGGATTATTTTTCTAAGAAAAATATTGGCTAGCTAGCTATTAACTGAAGCTTTTGGATATTGTGTTCAGGTAAGTGAAAGCATCAAATTCAAAATGTGAGCAGTATTTTAAAGTATTGTATGGCTACAGAGAGAGACAATTTAATATGCATTATTTAAATAACCCTTTAGCTTTTTATCATCAGTGTTCATTTTGGATTTCACTGTCTCATCCTGTATTCGGATCATTAATGGGCAGAATAGCCTAATATAGGGATATTGAACTTGCATGAAGATGTATGAGTGATAATATCATAGTATTATGTGGGAAGTAATTGTTCCTACGTTTCTTTTACGAGAGTATGTGAGTTTTTTAGTTGATTGTGAACAAAAGGAAGAGGGGGAGGAAGGAGCAGAAAGCCTGAAGTTGGTCTCTACTGATATAACCTGATTAGGACAGTATATGGTTTTCATTGTTAAAGGTCATGAGAAGTGCGTAAACTGAGTAAGCATTGACAGGAAAATATGTGCTGCCATTATTATACTGAGATTGTCCGATGAAATTTGTTTAATTTTCATTTCTACTTCTATTGATATGACACATAAGCTCTGCAAGCCAAAGGCTGTCTTTTGTAATTCTTGCATTTTGCCTGAGACAATGGGACATCTATCCATTGCTCAGCTTACAATTCTGCAACAATCCAAATAATTAGAGGTAATAATGGAGTAATACGTGAGTAATACTTTTACAAAACTAATTTGTATGTTAGCTATTTAATAATTTCTGAGCATGCATTAAGTATCATTAATATTAAACATGGCCATTGTTCCTGCTTGCATTAACGTTTCATTCATTATTGCCATTGTAACAAAAGCTTTTTTGTTGTTTTTTGTTTTATATGTTTTGCTTTTCTCTTAGGCTCAGAATGCACAGCAGCTCCATGAGCGGATCCAGTCTTCTAGTATGGATGCAAAGTTAGAAGCACTGAAAGACTTAGCCAACTACTCACGGGATGTTACATTTGCCCAAGAATTTATAAACCTAGATGGCATTTCCCTCCTAACACAAATGGTTGAAAGCGGCACAGAGTAAGTACTCTGCTTAAGCTCTGATGTTCCTCCCCTATGGGGTGCTTTCATGCTCACTCTGAGTGCCTGAAGTATTTCTGTGTACAACTTCTAAGATAATATTAAAATAAAACATCTGGAAAGTTCTGGGCTGCTAGGGTAGTATATCCATTATCAATGAGAATATTTTTTTTAATTTCCCCTAACAATGGGCTGGTGGGGGTTGAGGTTGAGCAAAGTAGGAATTCGCAAGTACCCTCTATGCCATGAAGTTTTGGGGAGACTGTAGTTCTAATTTCTTCTCTACCCATTGGAATGTAGATAAATCATTGACTGATTTATTTAAAGGCTGGTATTTAAGTTGTGTCATCTGAAAACTGTGTTTTAAATTTCATGTTACTGAGAACATGTGGAAGAAAACACAGTGCTTGCTTTTATTTTCATCTTTATTGTTTTAATTCTAGCTGGGTTTTTTAAAATGACAATGGCTTTTTGACATGAAATTGGAAGCTGACCTCTGAAAATTATTTATTCTTTGCCAGAACATTTTACCAATTTTCCCCATTGGTGAAATTCAGCACCATGGTCCTGAATAAGTGTCTATTGGCTTAATGTGGAGGGTACCACAGAAAAGTATCAACTCGGTTGCTGCACTATTAGATTATGTTGAAATAGCTACAATTTCAAGTAAGCTTTTCCTTTCAAGTAAGAGTTTTAGTGTTTTGCAGTCAGTGTCAATCTCTACTACACATGAAGAAATCAACAATACCTACACCCTTTCCTGAAAGAAAGAAAATGCTCTGAAAATACCTTTCTTATTCATTTGGGGGTGTTCAGTCTTGTGGACCAGACTCAGAATTCAGTTGCTGAAATCAATCCAAATCCCTTTTCAAATGTGCTTTTGTTCCCTTGGATTCAAGAAGGTAATTAGTGTTGCGTGGTAAAGCAAAAGTAGTAAGTGAGCTTTGAAATGGAACACAGTTGTCTCTGATGGTCCCATGCAAGACATACTGGGGATTTTCCACAGAAAAACTAAGTACTTTTTAGAATCCAGTAGTTCTTAGATTGGAAAATGTAAAAGCACTCTCTCACTGATGTGTCTGTTATGTATTGAATGGTTTATTGGACTTTGAATCCCTATTGCCTAGCTCTATCTATATACGGGATTTCTAATAGTGCATGGTTTCATCTTCAGTGTTTTGGGGTTATGGTCTTTATTTTTGCAGTGATGTGGTCTGTGGCACATATTATGCCACTTCAGAAAAAATACAAAAAAATGCTTCTAGCTATCAAATTTGTCAACTTGTCTTATATTCATATAATATTTGTTGTTCAGGGACTAAGTTAAATTTCAAACCAAAGACAGGCTTAAGTTGATGTAAACATCTTCACACAGTTACTGTACTAATCAAAAAATATACTGAATGGGCAGGCTCACATGTGCCTATGAAGATCAGAAGATAAGCAAATTAAAAGTCACTGCCTCTGTAGTTTATTTTGTCATGGATTTATTTAAGTTAAATGGTTTAAACTACTCCACTGCGAAAGGTATTTAAACTAAAGCACTTTATTTTCTATTGAAACAGGGAACATTCACATTTTTCAAAAGCATGTCTTTTAGCTGCATCAAGGCTAAAGCCCTCCTCAGCCTTCAGATGTGTCTGTACTACTGGTTGTAGCTGTGGGATGGGCCAAGCTGTAGCAGACTGGTCTGGATTAAAAATAACTATTTGGGAAGGAAACTACTTATGCCAGCATCACTGTTGAAAGAACTGCTCAGCAAATTACACCCTAGTAGTAATTCCTGGCTGAGGGTATACATTTTCAAACCACACAGCAGGCTTGTAGACTGGACATATGAGCAGCTTATTACTTCCTCCTTCTTTTTTTTTTTTTTTTTTCTCCAAAGTGGCTTGCATTTGGCAGGATTTCATATTTTTAGCTGGTGTAACGTATCACCAAAGACGCATTGATCGACCTACCTGTCTAATCTATTTATCAGTGTTTCTGCCTCTGGGGAGAAATGCTGTCTAGTTTGGGCATGGAACAAAGACTCAGACTGTAAGAGTTTCCAGCAGCTTCACGTGTTGATGAACTCTTAGTACTCACTGCAGTCTTTTTTGTGTTCAGCAGCCTAGACATTCTGCAGCTTCTGAGGGGATCTACAAGCCAGGTTTTTCCAAATCTGGCTTTGCGAAGGGAGTTGTAAAGCAAGGAGATCTGTGCTACACTGTACGTTCCCTTCTGCTTTTATACTGTGCATGACTGGCTGATTAGCGCATATTTAACAAAACTCAAGATTTAATGAAAGGAGCAAATCCTAATATGCACAGACTCAGCAGCCTAAGCTTGCAATGGTGCTGCTGCTTTCCTTTCTTGTCCGACTTCAAGCTATTGATCCCATCCTCCTACTTCATGGGCTATCACTCATTGCTATTTCAGCCCATTAAGCCAACAGACAAACTACTTCCACAGAATAATAATTTTTTTGGTTTGTTGTTTGATTTTTATTACAACCAAACAGCTCCCTAAAATGGCCTGTGAGCAAACAAGATGTGTGTGGGAGGCAAAGAAAGGTAATATGTGGAGGAGAGACTGGGACGAGGACAGCCAGCCATTTGAGTGCCCTAGGCTGTCAAGGAAAAGCAACTGGAGTCAGTCAGTTGTCCTCTTACGTTCTCTATTTCTGTTTTCGATTGGACCCTCTGCAATACCGTAATAAAAGGGTCTCACAAGGTGCTCACTCAACAGGCAAAGCAAGCTGAAGCCTCCTTGCCATCAGCTCCCACCCTGGGCTGTGCGCCCTCAGCAGTGTGGCCTTGTGGGCTCTGCTGCTGACCAGGTCACCAAAATGCTTCAAACCAAAAAGCTCTTTTCCCTCCTTTTCCCTGCCCCGTTATCTGCCACTTTCTCTTCCCCAGTGGTATTTTCAACTCTAATCGTTTCAGTATCCATAGGTGGACCTACCCCAACAATTATATTAGCATTAGAAAGGGGAGCAGCATCAGGGGAGGAATGAACAATCAGAAGTTTCTGGGAAGGGCAGAAACTACTTTGATGGCCCGGTTTTCAAAGACAGTATATTTTGTAAAGATACCTTTGAGGTATATCTTCACTGTGGAGTTCTTACCCGCCTTTGAGGTACTGTTGTTTAGCCAGCCTTGCTTGAATCAAGCTGTGACTCAACCATACAGCTGAGAGAACCCTAATGGCTTGGTGCTGCTAAGAGATGATCCAGCTCCCTGCCCTCTTCTCCAGGTCCTTGTGTGTTAATCCCTGCTCTCCAGCCCGGTCCTGCTTCCTTCCTGGAGTTGGTTCTGGTGCCTGGATGCTTCACAAAACCAATCCAGCTTGTTAACTTGGCTGGAAAGTATCCATGTCTGTTTTTCAGAGTTAGTTTTCTGCTCAGTTTGAGAGTTGTGGAAGCAAGAGAAGAAGTGGGCATGAGTGGATGCAGAAAAGGCCCTTTTTTGTGGCAACAGACCACTACATTGGCGTAGGTGCATCATTGAGCCACAACCTGAGAGCAGGCACTTTGTTGAAATAGCGTGAGACTGTTTGTCTCCGCTCTGGTATCACAACCTGGAGACTGGCACTAAGGCTCTGAGGGGGCCAGAGGGGATGGGACATACCCTTGTCAAGAAGCCCTTCTGCGTGCTTTCCCCGCTGCCCGTGGGTTAACGCCGCTGAGGGCAGCCCTGCATCAGTAAGTCCAGGCTGAATGGTGCCTGTCTTCACGGGTGGGGTGCAGCTGTGCTAGAAATTGATGGAATTTTGTTAATTCAAGCTTTATTCTCTTTTCCCCAAAGGGGCAGACAGTGCTCATTAAAAGTAGCATCACGCTTAGTGTAAGGTTGGCGTGAGGTTTCCTCTGCATGTGGAACTCATGTTAGGGGTAACTCTTAAGTTATAATTTGAGTGTGTGATTAAGTTTTAGTGGGCAGCGTCTGGAAAGCAAGACTCCAGCTTTTTTTATAACTTTCACTGAGGAAGAGGCCTATACTTTATTTATAGTTAGCTTTAGTTATTGTGCTGCTTACTCATTATTTCAGTGAAGCCGATGAGTATAAAAGTACAGTGACCAGAGTAAGAGAATGTAAAGCTCCGAGTTTCCAGTTACCTCCGCTTCATTTTGCGGGTGATGAAAAGAACTAGTAATATAAAAAGTTGACAAGAACTAACAGTGTTTTCTGGTTAATTTTCCACACGCTATATTCCTGAATATTGAAGAAAATTAGAATGCATTGGAGAATAGCCTTTACAGTTTCTTGCTGTTCGCACAGCTTGAAAAATAACAAATTGAGAGGTGTTGTGTTTTTTTTTTTTTTTTGCGTATGTTTTCAAAAGTGGTTTTAATGCAATGTGTAGTTGCCATAATTTGGGCAAGATCTCCTTGTGTGCTTGCCGCTTAGAGCAAATGAACTGTAGACATGGTGTGTACTGGGACAAAGCCATAAGGGTTGGTGGTAGACAGATTGTAGGGTGCATGGGGCCCTAACGAAGCTGAGAGAGCATCTTGTCAATATGAATATATTTATATCAGCAGAGATGCAACATGTCTTAGAAACTGTCCACATGCATCTCGATCCTGTTGATTGAGATGGCTCGTCTTTGTTTTTTCTTCAGGCTCATTCTTGCTTCCAGAGCATGCTATGAGTCGCTTATTAACTGAAGAAAAAAAAAGTTGGTTTTATGTTTATTTTTATAGTTCAGGTGACCTATAAATTATAGCAGGGACTGTGAAACAAGTTAGGTCATGAAGAACAAGTGAATGCTGATTCTATTTTATAATTATCCATGATGTCCGATCATTTTTTGGACTCTGTGCATCTGTATGATCAAACTGCGTGCACACACAGTTATTTTCCTTTTCAGAGACTTTTCAGAAAGAGATTTCCACTTCTAATGCTAATTTTTTTGTCTGAAGCCCAGTTTGTGCCTAGTTAAGGAGAGTTGAATATGCAGTGCATCTGGTTGGATGTATAGACAGTGTAAAAGGGAAGTGTAGGGGTGTGCTGCTT